TCATTATGTCATATGTACATAAATGTATCAAAAAATAAAGGGAATTCTTCTGATACTTCTTTATTCAGGAACTCAAAACATAATAAATAATAATAATAACAAATTACTCATTTTTGTAGCTGTAACTAGATCAAAATGTAAAATTAGATCATCCTTTTTTATATATATATTTGATTAATTTTATTGTTATTGATTATTAATGCTGACCTAGCAGGGCAATCTACCAACCTTCATCATTTTTTTATTCTCACGGTTCAGCTCCATTTCTAAGGCAAATACATCTCCGGGTGTGACATTGTCGTCATTGTCCTCTTCTTCTTCTTCTTCTTCTTCTTCTTCTTCTTCTTCTTCTTCTTCTTCTTCTTCTTCTTCTTCTTCTTCTTCTTCTTCTTCTTCTTCTTCTTCTTCTTCTTCTTTGTCTTCTTCTTCTTCTTCTTCTTCTTCTTCTTCTTCTTCTTCTTCTTCTTCTTCATCATCATCGTCGTCTCCATCCTCCTCTCCAATGTCTCTCCACTCCATCTTTCCATCTTCATTATCTTCATCCTCCTCCACACACTCCTCCAGTCCCTCTCCGATCATGGAGGCAAAAGCTTTCTGAACAGATGGACTGACTCCTTCTTCTGCCGTCTCTGTTAGAGATCACACAAAATACAGCTTGTGATGTGATGTTGTGTGACGCTGAATATTGATTCCCACCTGCCTCAGTCAAACGCTCTTGATGTGTTTGCCATACAAGCAAGAATAGGAAACTAAAATCTGATCTATTATCTTGTCAGTCAATCAATAAATCCTGGGATCAAATTTCGGGATCGAAAAACACAGTACTGTGTTTGAAGTTGATAAGATTTTATTTTTTTAATAAATTCATATTTTTATTCCATAAGAATGCATTAAATTGATCAAAAGTGAGGGTAAACAAAGAGATTTATAATGTTACAAAAAAATATCAAATTATCAAATACATTTTCTTTTCAACTTCTGCTTATCAAAGAATCCTGAAAAAATGTATCACAGCTTCCACAAAAATATTAAGCAACTGTTTTGTTAATAATATGAAAAGTTTCTTGAGCAGCAAATCAGTATATTAGAATGTTTTCTGAAGGATCATGTGACACTGAAGACTGCAGTAATGATGCTGAAAATTCAGCTTTGCATCACAGAAAAAAATTACATTTGAAAATTGTTAATAAACTATTACAGTTTATTTAAAACTGTAATAATATTTCAGAATATTACTGCTTACCCCAAACTTTTGAATGGTAGTGTAATTTATAAAACACCCAATTTAACACTGATTTAACACGCACATTGCACAATATTCTGAAAATTATGTTTAAGTTATTATATTTTGTTCTGTATGCATTCTACCATACGTTTAGCCCAACTTTAATAAATCATTTCTTAGAATTAGTGTTTTTCAGCTCTTTGCCTCATAAATCTCTTACTCGTCTATACACACATAAACCAAACACTGCACACTGGTTCTCAACTGTGTTTTATATCATATTTATTCAGTTTGAAATAAGGCAAAGTGTCTATTCCTATCTGCAGGAATAGCTTATTATTATTAAATTGCATATAATCTATCTGCAGCATGCATATTATTTTGACATTTATAAGTTCGATTTTTGGTTTCAAGATGCATGCAAAATTATCTCGACCAAACAAAGTAGTTTCGCTTTCACAATGAAAAACACAGCAGCCTAGCGTAAGGGGAAGCCCCGGCTTAGCATGCTGCACCAAGAGCTTGTAACACTCCAAAGAGAAAGGAAAATTTGAAATCGCATCATATGACCCCTTTAATTAAATCAATGTCTAATTTTGAGGTTATATTAATGTGTTTTGTGGGCCACTTGTAATATAGTTCATATTAAACTGCCTAGTCTAGTCTTACGAGTTAAGTCATCTATTATTATTTTTTCTTTTTCTTCTTCTTCTTCAGAACTGTTCATACCTTTAAGTCAGTTACAAAAAAAGTTAGATTAGTCTAATTTGAATCCGATAAGTAAGGCTGATCACTAGTTCTTAAGACAAGACACAGTCTCAACATGGGGGTTCTGTTGTTTATGCAACTGGTCCATTGTAAAGATGGTACAATCTGTGAGGTTTCATAAAAATACCTCATTATTACTTTCACCTATAGTGTTCCCCCTGAAGGTTACAAAAAGCCTGGAAATGTACGTGATATATCCACCTGTTTGACGGTGCCGTGTTTCTTTCGCACTTGGTTTTGAAGTGGACGGAACAGCGTCCTCCTGATCAGCAGCTTCATCATATTCTGACACACCTCCCTTCTGCTCCTGAAACACAACATGAGTCACATGCTACTCCATAGCACTTCAACAATACCATGGTGCATGTCCAAATCACATTCCAAAATAACTGCTTAGTGGACATACAGTATATATGCGCTATAATAGAGACACGTATTACATACATTCATATAGATGCTAGAATAAAAGCGGAATATTATGACCTTATCCTTTGCTTTTCTTTCCTCTCTCCGCCTTTCAAACTCCTCGAACGTTATCTTTCCTTCTAAATAATCGTTCAATTCGGACATTGCAGAAAAATAACTTGGTTTACTGCTTCATGTCACGTACAGTATAAACATTACACTGGTGCACTGCATGAGCACGGTCGCACGCTTCCTGCGTTTCTGCCTTCAGCCAATCAGAGAGCTCAAATTCTTCTTCGACAGTAAACGAAACACAACCACAGGTGACGCCATTCCAAAAGACCCACATCGCCACCAAGCGTCAAAGGAATATAGCGCAATCCAAATTTATCGTGGTACACGCTGTGGAAGATAATAATGTAACAATGTTTTTGTTAATGTAAATATATCATCCTTAGCATTTTTGCTGTTCGTACTACCATAATTGAGGTTTTGTACATTGTTCTTGGTTGTATAATATTTAGTAACAAAGCATATTAGTGCTGTCAAACGACTAATCGCGATTAATCGCATCCAAAGCACTTAATCAGCTGTCAATTACTGAAACGTCAGGTTTTATTTATTCACTTCAGAGTCATTTAGACATTCGGTCTAGACATTTGCTCTAGATTTCATTACACAAGCCATACTCTTCTCGGACAACTCCTGAAGTTCACAATAGGGAACTAAACTAAGTCTTGATTTCACTTCATTAAAAACTTAATTGTCTTAGGATATTGTCTTATGGTGCTTTGACTCACTGAACACAATATTAATTTATAATTCAGCATATGAGTGGCTGACATTCAAGCAAAAAAACTGAGGAAGGAAAACCTCGATAATATGAAAAGAAAATAATACAGTTGTCCTAAATACAGCGGGTAAAATAAGTATTGAACACGTCACCATTTTTCTCAGTAAATATATCTCTAAAGGCACTGTTGACATGACATTTTCACCAGATGTCGGTAACAACCCTAGCAATCCATACATACAAAGAAAACAAAACAAATAAGTTCAGAAATTAAGTTCTGTGTAATCAAATGGAATGGCCCAGGGGAAAAGTATTGAACACGCTTACTGAAACGTATTTAATACTTCGTACAAAAGGCTTTGTTGGTAATGACAGCTTCAAGACGCCTCCTGTCTGGAGAAACTTCTTCAAACCTTGAAGGTTCCATGGGCCTCTTCGATGAACTCTAATCTTTAGTTCTTTCTATAGATTTTCTAATGGATTCAAGTCAGGTTATTGGCTGGGCCATTCTAGAAGCTTTACTTTCTTTCTCTGAAACCAATTGAGAGTTTCCTTGGCTGTGTGTTTGGGATCATTGTCTTGATGGAATGTCCACCCTTGTTTCTTCTTCATCATTCTGGTAGATGGCAGCAGATTTTTATCAAGAATGTCTCGGTACATTTTTCCATTCATCCTTCCTTCAATTATATGAATTTTGCCAGGGCTACACCATGATGTTGTTGGGGCGATGTTCAGTGCTATTTGACCTCCAAACATGGTGTGTATTATGGCATCCAAAAGAGTTTAATTTTGGTCTCATCTGACCAGACTATATTCTCCCAGCATTTCCCAGGCTTGTCTAAATGTTGTGCAGCAAACTTTAAACGAGCTTCAACATGCTTTTTCTTCAGCAATGGAGTCTTGCGTGGTGAGCGTGCATACAGGCCATGGCGGTTGAGTGCATTCATTATTTTACTTATTTTCTTTGAAACAGTTGTACCTACTAATTCCAGGTCTTTCTGAAGCTCTCCACAAGTGATCCTTGGCTCTTAGAAAACGCTTCTATTTTTTTTTTCACTACTCTGTCAAGAAATCTTGCAAGGAGCACCTGGTCGTGGCCAGTTTATGGCGAAATTATGTTCTTTCCGCTTCCGGATTATGGCCCCAACAGTGCTCACTGGAACATTCAGAAGTATAGAAATCTTTTATAGAAAATTTTGCAAAAATAAGGTTGTGAAGGTCTTGAGAAAGCTCTTTGCTTTAACCCATCATGAAATGTTTCTTGTGTGACACGTTGGTCATGAGACACCTTTTTATAAACCATCAGTTGGGACTGAACCAACTAATATTAATTTCCACTGACAAGGGCCATGATTGGTTTCCAACTACTGATAGATTTCAGCTGGTGTCTTTGGATAGATTTCCATGCCTTTTTGCACCTCCCTTTCTTCATGTTCTATACTTTTTCTCGGCGTCATTCTACTTTATTACACAGAACTTAATTTCTGAACTTATTTTTTTCTTTGTATGTATGGATTACTTGGGTTGTTACCAACATCTGGTGAAAATTTCGTCAACAGCACCTTTAGAAATATATGTACTGAGAAAAATGGTGATGTGTTATATATATATATATATATATATACACCGACCAGATACAATACTGATTTTGGTGGGATTTCAAATTTTTTTTAAATGACATTTGTCGTGTTTTGGAACCAAACTCTTCATATACTGTATATAAAAATGTTGCTGAATTTAAAATAAAACCACAGAAATAAAACACTGAAAAAAAAAAAGAGGCAAAATCAGCTTTTTATTATTAAAAAAACTCGCTTCATATTTATTCTTTCATTGATTTCAATCTCTCGGTGTTCGAGGAAGAATACATAACTGTACAATATTGATATTATACATCAATAAATACTATGTATCATGCATCCATCTCGGAGTAAGATCAAAATGTCCTCCATGCGTGAGGGGAAATGAAATAGCACAGAATTGCTCTCTTAGGAACAGTGACTTTCACTCTGTTTCTGGACTGTTGTTCGGTATTTCCTGTGCTGGAAAAATGAGCTTTTGTAGCATTTTAATCTTCTCTTCCTCAGTTTTAGAGTTGAGCTCAAGGACAGGAACCTAAACACATGAAATATATGAGGAATATTACTGAGAATGCAAAATGGAAAACCAGAGATTAAATGGTTGGTTAAATCCCTCTTGTTGTTCATAACACCATAGTATTTCTATGATACATGACTAAAAAACAGTATCACTTCTATACCAAAAATACAGAGGAATTAAAAAGAAATTTACCAAAACAGGTTTATAACCAAGTTTTTCAAGATGGCGAAGTTTGATAACCAAGCTGGCTCGAGGATGTGTTGTACCGAAGCAAAATGAAGTATGTGGGGCGCAGACCACCGCAATCCTGAAATAAAGGACAAAGAAGAGCTGTTAAATATGTCTGCAAAACTACTTTCTAGCATTCGACATCTAGGTATGTGAGATCAGCATGGGATTCTTCATATAAACATCACAGCTGTTTTGTGTTGTGTTTTACCTTTGGGCACACTGAGGTGACCCAGAATCCTTTGCACTGACGCCACATGTTTCTTCTGTTTGATGAGGCAGTGTAATCACACAGTCTAAAGCAAAGGCAAGACAACATTTCAAACAATATGCACAGTCTACTCCAACATGAAATGCCACAACATATTTAACAGCCATAATGTGACATGTTTCTAAGTGAAACAAATTGTTCAGTGGGAAATGTAGGCAGGGATTTGATTTTATCCATCAGGTTTGATTGAGTATGCAAAATAAGGTATATTAGCTTATTAATTTACATGATCATTTTATTATATTAATATTATGCAATTAATATGTGCATTAAAAACCCACTTATTGTTTTATGATTTGTTAGTTATAAATATAATTGTACAATTTATTTATAAGTTATGTATAATTTATTTATCAACATTTAATTGTTGATCATTCTTATTTGATTCTATTCTATTTTAAAACATTTACCATTTCATTATAAACTATTTTCTTTTTCTATTTTCTTTTGGTTGCTTGTATTTTGTGTCCAGAACTTGTTTACGCTTGTAAAGTATTTTGCATTGTATTTGGCATCTTAATGGTGCTAAAACTCTCTCTATTTTTTTTTTATTATGCAAAATAGAAGTTCTCATTTTTAAACTTTCGCGTATGAAGTCAATTTGACTTGGAAATGTTTGCTTGAGATTGATTTTTTTCCATCACTTGTAAAATACTTTAAATTGCATTGGGTTTGTTTGAAAGGTGCTATATAAATAAAGTTTGATTGTTTGATTAATATAATACTATTAAATTATGAAGGAGTAATGATGCTGAAAATTCAGCTTTGTCATCTCAGGAATAAATTCCATTTCAAAACATTTTCAAAAATAAATATTAAATTGTAATTACATTTCACAATATTATTGTTTTACTGTATTTTTATTCTTTCAGAAACATTAAAAAAATCTTTTAAATTTTTATTATGCAAATTAAATCAAATTTCTTGTTTTTAATCTTTTAAAAGATTAAGTTGGAGTAAACTTGACCTGTTTTCTCGCAATTTATTACTCTAAGCACTTAGTTTAAATTGCATTAGATTTGTCTGAAAGGTGTTGAATAAAAAATGTTTGATTAACATTATTAAATTAATATAAAAATATTACTTAGTTTGAATCTGACTTCCTTGCTGTGGTTTAATTCATTAATAGCAATATAACACTAAGCTTGAACTTATAATAAAAAGAAACCTGCACAGTAACATGAGGTTCATCTCACCAATGAAATAAATGCTCTGCTCCAGCACACTGTCCTGAACAGCATCATTTCCCACAATGCTCCTGACTGCACTGAGCACTTCCTGGTTGGCTGTGACCGCAGGAGCAGGAACTGAGATGTGCAGGTCTGGGATAGAGGTCAGGGAGGGCGGCAGCTGAGGTTTATCAAGTCGCAAACACAGATCCAACGTGTGCAGCCACCTCTGAATCTTATCCGACTGTTTGCCTGCGAGGACACAGGAACTGATCACAGCTGAAGTGTGATGGTTTATGGATGAAGAAAGAGAAAAAGTGGAGATACTAACCTTTCTCTAGGAGCTGGTCCAAAGTGTCCTTCTGTAGCAGTTTCTCCAGTGGGGTTTGGGGGAAGTGCTCCAGCAATCCCAGACAGTGGATGGCTTTCAATAGGTCTGTGGGAGACATCTTTGGAAGGTAGGACTCCAAGACCATTGTTACACTGGCCAGAAACCTAATTAAAAAGCAGCAAGTGCTAACAGTAAATATTCTGACAAAATATGGATTTTAATGTAAAATGCATGTGCAAATGATGTGCAACATTTCAAAATCTTACCAACCCCAAGCTTTTGAATGGTAAGTGTAAGTGATTAAGAATCAAAACAGCAGCTTACTGTGTTTTTTTCTCTTTCAGGTCGTGATTGAGGAGCGAAAAGACTTTTAAAACAGAAAGAAGGTCTTTCAGGGTCAGACTTTCGGATTTCTGAATGATTCTCTCTGCAAATGCATCCAACAAGACCACGGGTCTGAACAAAAGATTCTCAAATGTTACTAGAAAGAGAATCACCTGGAAAACATAAAAAACTAAACAAATTAATAAAGAACAAAAACAATCCTGCACAGTTTACTGCACTGAAGCTGATTATGTAATTCATCATGGACCACTAATAATAAACACACCTTTCTGCTCTGACACTGTAATGTTTAAGGCAGGAATGCACCAATATATTCAGGCTAATAATAGCACATTATTTTTATTATGGCCAATATCTGAAATGATGGTTGATAATATGCATCGTTCAAAGGTTTGGGGTTTGTAAGATTTTTTAAATGCTTTTAGAAAAATAAGTCTCTTATGCTCACCAAGACTGCATTTATTTCATCAAAAATACAGAAAAAAACAGTAATATTGTGAAATATTATTACAATTTAAAATATCCGTTTTCTATTTTAATATATTGTAAAATGTAGTTTATTTCTGTGATGCAAAGCTGAATTTTCAGCATCATTACAGTCTTCAGTGTCACATGATCCTTCAGAAATCCTTCTAATATGCTGATTTGCTGCTCAAGAAACATTTCTTATTATTAATGTTGAAAACAGTTAAAAACAGTTTTTTTCAGGATCTTTTGTAACATTATAAATACTTTTTGAGTCACTTTTTGAGTGTAATTGCTGAATAGAAGTATTAAATTCATAATCAAAATCAATCATACTGACACCAAACATTTGAAGTGTATGCTGATTTATCTATTTAAAAATACTATTACTACTAAATATACTAAAATAAATCATATATTTCAAGTGAAATTAGGCACTGTTTTTTCATTGTTCCTTTTGCAATAACAATAAAAATCTACAATATTCTATTCAAAGAAAAGTCAATGTGCAAAAAAACATGGGCAATTGTTTGGTACTTTTATAACCTGGCATAGAAAAATATTTTGACAGAGTGGTGCTTGACTCACTACCACACAAAATACTGTGCATTCCTCTTTTAACATGAACATGGATCAGTCTAACTGAAGTCTTAGATCACTAGATATCGCACCTGTTTGTTGGACCACATATCAAATGTGTTGGCCATGTATTCCGAGATGGAGCTGAAGAGGGTGTAGTTCCTGTAGTGAAGCTCATGGCAGGACTTCAGAACCGAAAGAAGTCTATTGAAGGGAAATTCATGCACGTTTTCTGCAGGACGAAATGAGAAGTAATGTTACAGTTATAGGTCTTGATTCACTGCTTCTAACTGTTTACTGTAGTTCTGGGAACATCTGAGAGGATCATGCTCATTCTCACCAGCTATCTTCTTGCTGCAGACATCCAGCAGAGGTTTGAAGTTCAGGCCCATGGCAGCCAGGCTGGAGAACATGTACTGGGTGTTGGGTGGACTAAACCCATCTGCCAACGACAGAGCTTTGGTCTGAGGGAGAACAGATAAGCCACTACTTCATTCTGACATCTGTATATGTGGATTTATTTTACAAATGGCAATAAAGTCTTGAAGGGTGTTACAAACTCAGCATCATCATTTCTCCTTTGATAGCTGTATACAAGGGTGACATGTCATGTTTTTTTTTCAGTTCAAAATATAAGCAATTGTACTTTGCATAAATAAATAAATATTTAGACATCATGGTCATAGAAAACATTTAGGAGTAAAATACAACATAATATTGAAAATATAAAGTGAATTACAATACTAAGAATTTAAAATGATATAAAAATAAATTTAAAAAAATGTATAAAGTTAATTAAAATGTAAAATTATTAATAAGAATTGTAACAAGAATATATACAGTCGTTAAAGGGATAGTTCACCCAAAAATGAAAATTAGCCCATTATTTACTCACCCTCAAGTCATCCTAGGTGTATACGACTTTCTTCTTTCAGACGAATCCAGTCGGAGTTATATTAAAAATTGTCTTTGATCTTCCAAGCTGTTTAATGGCAGTCAGCGGGTGTTGCAGTGCATCAGTCCAAAAGAAGTGAAATAAAGCGCATCCATCCATAATAAAAAGTGCCTCACACGGCTCCGGGGGGGTGAACAAAGGCCTCCTGTAGCGAATCGATGCATTTTTGTAAGAAAAATAACCATATTCAAAACGTAATAATCACTTTAATGTAGCTTGCACCAACAGTTGTACACAGAAGCAGCTCCGGGCAGATGACATAAGATGTCGGCGTTGCGAATGCGCTGAAGAAAGTCATATATGCCTAGGATGCCTTGAGGGCGAGTAATTCATGGGCTAATTTTCATTTTTGGGTGAACTAACCCTTTAAGGAAAATAAGTAATCTCAATGATGCAAAAAAAAAAAAAAATCATCTGCAATCATGCAAAATATCATTTCTTGTTTTTATCCTTTTGATTTGAGTAAATTAGACCTGGGCATGTTTTTATGAGCTTTAAATAAAGAAGAGACTCCATCAAATTGTGCATTCGATACATTTTAGGTGATATACATAATAAATCAATTGTAATCTAACCGCCAGCTCATTCTTCAGAAGTATCGGAGAGTTTTTTCCCACTGCGCGCATCATGCTCTGCAGAACAAGCACATTCTGGATCTCAGGAATACGATCCTTCAGCAACAACCTTCCAAAATCAGAACACAAATTAATGAAAACATACACACAGATGTATCATTTCATATTGGGGCTGTAATCATTTTCAAACCTTAAAGCCTCTCTCAGGGCCTGAACATTCCTACTGTTTTCCATCTCCCGAATACAGGAAGCCAACACCGAAAGAGACCTTATATCAAACTGATTCAGCCGCTCCTGGATGGGGCAAACAGAAAAAAAACAAGGGCAGTTCAGTAAATACTTCATAAACACATGAACTTAAATACAACAGAAATAAGATACACTGAATAAAAGTAGCAATATTAGCTGTTCTATTAGAAGAAAGAACTACTTGAAACTGGATACTCTTAAAGGGATAGTTCAACCAAAAATGAAAATTCTGTCATTAATTACTCTCATGTCCTCATGTCATTCCAAACCTGTAAGACCTTCGTTCATCTTCGGAACACAAATGAAGATGTTTTTGATGGAATCTGAGAGCGCTCTGACCCTCCATAGACAGCAAGGATTTGGAATGACATGAGTAATTAATGACAAAATTTTCATTTTTGGGTGAACTATCCCTTTAAGAATATAATAAACACAGACACAGAATTGTGAAAATTATGATTTAAAATATGAAAGTATATAAATGTTTTTTATAATATGTAAAATAAGTATATGACGAGTTCAGATGCAAAAGCCTCTAAGTGTCGCTTGAAATTTTCTTCTAAAATGAGCATTTTTATCAGGCTCCTATGTGTAGTAGGTTCAGTAATTTCACTTTAATGGCAATGAATTAGGGATGCGCCGATCCGATATTCATATCGGGTATCGGCTCCGATAGTGCCATTTTTCTCGGATCGGGTATCGGTCAGAGAGAGCCGATCCAAATCCGAGATATTTTTTTTATTTTTATTTTTTTTCAATTGTGCAAATTATTCTGTGTTACTTCTGAAGCCATACGATAGCTTAATGTGAGCTACATATGAATATTTAAGTCCTTACATTAAAGTTCACACAAACTCTTTTCTCCGCTGTGGCTGTCAGTCATTCGTTCAGCCTTTAAAGTTTAAACCCTGGTCGCGTTCGGTTACAGCAGTCAGCTCGGTAAAGCTCTCTCCAAGATCATTCTGTGTTCC